CCAGTGGGGCGCCCGCCCCCCAAACCCCCCCCCCCCCCTGCCAGTCCTGACCCTACAGTTTTGGGGTTTTTTTTGGAAAGGTTTTTTTTGTTATAGGGCATGTGCGCTCGCCAGAGAGACAGAGAGACAGAAAGCGAGAAATCCCCTTCCGGGGGGTGATGGTCACGCCGCAATCCCTTCTCCTCCATTCTCCTCTCGGGATCTTGGGCACGCACGCACATGTGCCCAGCATGAGTTTTAAGCCACCGAGTCCGGGACACGAACCACGGTCGACTATGTGCAAGTCCAGCGACACAGCCATTACACCAACTGCTAGTTCCCGACCCTACAGTTTTTTAAAAAGCCCCCAACTAGAGGCCTGCAGGTGGCATTAGTTATGTCGCTGGACTCCCACGTTGTCAAGTGCAGTTCAAGTCCCGGACTTGGCCACCTAAAACTCATACGGAGCTGGGGACCACCAGGTGGCATGATGGTTAAGGCGCTGGACACTCCCACATGGCCAAGCACGGTTCGAGTCCTGAACCTAGCGGCTTGCTTTCTCCCTTTCCCTCTTTCTTTCCGTGTGTCTCTGGACACACGTGCAAGCGTGCCCAAGATCCTAAGAGGGGAATGGAGGAGAAGGGATTGCGGTGTGGCTATCCCCGGGGGGTGATTTTTCACTTTGTCTCTCCCTCTCTGGTGAGCACAAGCGTTCTATAGCAAAAAATCTCTAAAAAAAAAAAAAGGAAAACCTCCAACTATTTTTAAATGGGACAGAACTCACCAAGACTGAGCGATGCCCAAGTCCTCCCAGAGGTCCGGGGTAGCATGGCTCACCCGGCGCCCCTGGCACTGCTGTGCTGTCTGCAGCTGAGTCAGCTCAGCAGCCAGCCCGCAGCCTCGAAGCCAGCTCCTCCTCCAAGGTCTTCACATTCTAGAATTGCCACCCAGTGGCCCCCAGACATGCCCATCACCCCACGTTCCTTCCAGCAGCAGGGAAGGCAGCGTGGGCAGGAGAGGTCCCCTTGCCCAGTGGGGTTTCTGGGCCCTGGCCAGACCACCCCCTTCATCCCAGCCATCAGACCCACGCCCACCTGGCCCCGACCAGACCTACCACCCCAGGGCTTGGCTGTAGCTCCACCTGGAAGACCGGGCCCCACCCTCCTAGGACCTGGAAGCCCCTTGGCAGTGCTAGGGATCAGCCACAGCAGAACAGAGGCACCACGGAAGACTGTTTTCAATCAAGCTTTTAATGAAAAGATCATAAAATAACAGTTTCTCATCGCTGTACATTAAGACTGCACGCTTCTGAATGGAGAGATCGGTCGTGGGGGAATCGCCTTCTATGACACTGGAGGGCTGCGAACCTGCAGCTCGGACCTGAATCTATCCACACTCTCCAGGGACGTGAACTCAACGTGGTGAGTGGCGGCGGCGAGGGCCGGTGCAGGAGTGCGATCCTGGTGTCCCTCTCCCTGTCTGGGAAGGGCCTCAAGTCGGACAGGACCCCTCTTCCAGTTCCGATTCAACAAAACAGCTACAACCCCATCCCTCCCCTCCCCCCTCGAGGTATTTGCAAATGGGCCAGTGCCCAACCTGGGGCCCCCTGGGGGGACTGGGGAGAAGTATGGGTGGGGGACAGAGAGGTTCCCCTCAGCACCTGGCCCCACAGGCCCGCCGAGTGGAGGGGGGAGCCCTGGGGATCCTCCCCGCCCCAGTGAGGTCTGTTATGCAGCATTTTTGAGGTCAATAAATTACAGCAATAAATAGCGAGGTGAGGTAGGGGGAGGGGTTCCCGGTAGAAAATTAAAGTGGGGTGACAGAAGCTGGGGACATCCTCAGAAGGGGGTCCTGGGCAGCCTCTATGTCCACAGCCCACACCCACCCCAGTTTGGAATGTCAGAGGCGCTGGTAAGTCCCCCTCCTCTCCCGGCGGCACCCTGGCCTCCGGCCTGAGGTCTGCCCCTCTGGGAGACGACCTTGGTCCCTACAGGGGATCGGAGGGGCGCCCAGCCCTCCCTGCTCGTCCAAGGCTTGGGGCCTTGGACTCTGTCCCCCAGCCTGGGGGACGGCAGATTCCCTGCCCTCCCGGCTGCCCAGGCCTCACCCCGACTGGGGGCAGTGGGGCTGGCTGCCCTGCCAGATCGCACTCCTGCACCGGCTGAGGTCCAGTGAATACTGACGGGGTAGGGGAGCGGGCGGCCCAGCGCCCCCGAGTGGTGACGGGCGGGAAGCACCCGCGGCCGCGTGAGGCGGGGGCCGTCGGGATGGGTCCGGATTGTTCGCTTCACAGGCTGAGGTGCTGAGGGGTATGGCTATGCTGCGAGTCTCTGAGATTATTTGCTTAAAGGTCCGTCTTTTCTTTGCTTCCTTTTTTATTTTTTATTTTTATTTTTTGCAATCCCGGGGGAGCCCTTGCTGTGGCCCCATCTGGTGGAGCGTGCAGTGGCAGGGCCCGGCCTGCTCGGGCTCGCCCCAAGTCTGAGAAATAAATACATTCATCACAAACATATTGATACAAAAACAACACTGTTCAGAGTGTTCGCACCGTCTGTATTGGTAAGACCAGCCCAGTCAGCCCCTTCCGCTGCCTGGGGTGCGCTTGGGGGTGGGGGGCTCCCTGGAGGAGGGTGGGAACCGGCCGGGTGGGCTGTGCAGGGGTCCCAGCTTTTTGGCTTGAGTGGGAACCGCACAACCCACCCCGCAGGGTCACGGGCAGAGCAGCAGCGGGGGGACTCGCCACCACCCTGGGGCCCAAACCCAGCCTCAGGTCCTGTGGCCAGAGCTGACGGCCACCCCCGCTGTCCCAGCTGGCCAGAACCACCGTGGTCCAGCCAGGGACTTGGGGGCTGGTCAGCACGGGCCCAAGCTCTTTGGTGCCAGCTGGGATTGGAGAAGCCCAGGAAGTGGGGATGGGGCTCAGGTGAATGGGGGGGGTCGCGGCCCCTTCCCCGGCCCCAGGCTGCCTCTGCCCGGGAGCCACTCCAGGGCCGGCTCCTAGGGGCCTCCAAGCGGAAAGTGAGGTTCCCGGGGACTGGCCTTGCAGCTGCTGAGGTCTGAGACTGTAAAAGTTTATGTAAACAATGAGATAAATATATTAGTATCTTTTTTTCTGAGCCCACTGAGGTTCCATACTCATTCAAAATGTGCTTTGGTTTAAAAAATAGGTTTTGTGAATTTGGGTATGAGCTTTTTTTTTTTTTTTTCTTTTTTTTTTTTTTTCTTTTTTTTTTTTTTTTTCCTTTTTTTTTTTTTCCTTTCTTTTTCGTTTATCCTCTTTCCTACATGACATCTGCTATTTTCTGTTTCCTGTTTCTCCGAAACATTCAGGAATTAAGTGACTAAAGCAGAGAACTGTAAGCCGCCCTTGGCCTCCACAGGCCTCACTTCCTCGTGAGGCCCTTTAACGTGTTCACACGCACACACGCTCCCGAGCACGCACTCGACATGGAATCAAAGGAAAAGGAAAACCAAAAAGCAAGAGTGTTGTGTTCGTCCCGTCCCCCCCGCAAACCCTTAAAATCTTAAATAGGAAACTAGTGTTTTGCTTTCTCATTAAAATACAGAAAAGGCTCCATACAATACTCAGGTGGGTACAATACTATGTCGCAGGCGTCATGGAGTGAGGGGCCTCTGCTCCCAGTCCCTGAAGTTCTGCAAAGGAATCGCCTACGGTCACGGTCACCTCGCTGCCACGGCCCGGGAGGCCACGCCACGGCCGGGCACGTGCACAATTCCCGTGCGGTACAGACTTTGTGTCGTGTGGCTTAAGTGCTGACGGAGTGGGGGGGGCGGAAGGCGGGGCGGGGGGGCCTGTGCCAGGCCGGGTGGAGCCCAGGGTCCTCGGCCTGACTTGCTGGAAGTGGAGACCCAGGGCCAGGTCTCCCTCACTCACCCAAAACGAAGGGGGACCAGCTGGGCGCCGCGGCACCCCGTGGAAGGCTCGGCTGGGAGCCCTGGTGAGACCGAGCCCCGCCACTCCCAAAACACACCCTTCACCACCCGGGTCCCAGAATGGGGGGGAATGAAAGACGAGCAGGAGGAGTAAGATAAAGCCTGCTGGCCCAGCCCTGCAGCTGCCCGGAGGGCGGGATGGAGCTCGGAACCTCGGTCTGGCCTGAGACAGGGCTGAGGGCTGGGCCAGGACCAGGACCAGGACGAGGACGAGGACGAGGCCAGGGCTGCCGGAGCGCAGAACTGCTCAGAGTGCCAGGCCCTGCCCAGGGGCACGCGGCCTTTGGCCAGCCCCTCCCTGCACCCCTCACTGCCAGGCCAGGGCTGCTGCTCACCCAGGCTCAGACTCTTACAGGCACGGGGAGGGGGGCGAGGAGCAGGATGGGGGGGGCTCACTTCCGCCTCATCCTGGCCCTGGCAGGCGGCTCCTCCTGTGGCTCTCCAGCCTCTCAGGTGCCTGGCCTGGTCCTGCACCGGGGCTCGCACCCTCGCCCAGGCCAGAGCAGAGGCTTGTGTGTCGGGGGGGTACGCCAGCCCGGGGGTC